ATTTTTAATTTTTTAAGGTGTGATCATTAATTTTTTCTCAAAAGTTCCCATATTAAATAAATTACTTTTATATTTATTTTAGGATAAATGCTCCTATTAAATAAAGATAAATATAAAAAATTAAGATTAATTTAAAGATAAATAACTATTTTATTGGAAGATAACATTCAGTTAAAAATTATTTACATTTTTTATAATTATAATATATAACGTTGTTTCACACACACACACACACACTCATTTTTATTCTTATTATAGGACACTTTTAATTATTCATATATATTAAAAAAATTAGTTTTTTATATTATAAAAAAGTGAGAGGTATTTTTCATTTTCATTCCTGTTTTTAAATAATAATACAACTATATTAAAAATCTTCACATTAATCGAAAAGGAGTAAAATTGAAAAAAGTTGTTTAATTATTTTAATATGTCTTATATTTTGAATTAAAAATTACTTTTAAAAGATGTCTAATAAAAAAATTGAAGGAAATATATATATATATATATATATATATATATATATATATTATAACCCGTTGCTTTTAGGAACAACCATGTCCAATGTGATCGTTGCCTCCCCACTCTAAAACAAATATAATCATGTTTTTTTTTCTTTAATTTACTTCAATATTTTTTCAATAAGATGAATAATAGTCATATTATTTTGATTATGTTACTAGATGGCCTAAAGCCAATTCACTTTAAATTTATATTATTTTTATTTATAGTCTTAATAAATTATATAACTAGAAGTTATATTTAATTTTGTTAATGTATAACCAGAAGTTAAATTTTATTTTTTTATTATATAGTTAAAAACTACGTTTGATTTTATGATTAAATGACTGGAATTGATTTCATGATTACATGGCCAAAAGCCATGATTGGTCCTGCTATTATATGGCTAGAAGAAGCTGTTTCAGTTTTGATCATTACTATTTTGTAAAAAATAATTTTATGACCTTAATGATTGATTTAAGTTTTGTAAAATTTTGATAGGTATCTTGATAATTAATTTGATTGTTTTAACTACTGTAGCCTTGATGACTAATAGTTCAAAAAACCATTGTTGTGTTTAAAAGATTATTTTCCTATAATCCTGACCATATGGACATATTTTAATAGTCCACATTATATATGAATGATTTTCTCTCAAAAGAATTATCTAAAAGGAGGTAACTAATTGAACATATTTTCACTTTCTTTAAATTCTTTAATTATATGTCAATATGGTTGACTTGTTGATTTCTCTTATAATGTTAACGACATGCGATAAATTTTAGTTCCCTTTGAATGGATAATGTAATAATTATGGGCTTATTTGAAATTATTTTTTATTTTATTATTATGAGAATTGGTATTTTGTGAAATATATTTTGAGAATAAAAAAGAATAAAAATAGATATTTTTATCATTTTCTCTTTTTTTTCAGAACAATAATTTCAGATCAACAAATACATGTTTCTATTTTTCTGTTCCACATAACAATATTTGATTTTTTTTCAAAACACTTTTAAAAATATGTTACCAACTATTTTTTTATTTTTTTAGACAACAGAAAACTATTTTCAGAATAAACTGCTAAACAAGCTCTCTGTTTTGATATTTAAATTTAACTATCATTACAACGAATAACTGTAAAAGTTAAAAAGAAATAGCAAGAGTTTTAAAATCATGATAATAATTTACTCATATATCTTGAGCATCTCTTTGTAAAATTTTATTTTGAATAGAAGGCTCATAATAATTTACTCATATCATATACTGTACATGATCCAAATTTCTTAATCTCAAGTAATATGTTTTAATGATATTCATTTAATATTTAATTTTTATTCAAATTACAGACATTAAATGAATTTTAAATTTTAAATTTATATATAATTTGTATTTGAAGATGACGACTCAATCATCAAATTTGTGTTTTAGTATTTGATATTCAACTATAAGATTTGAAAATATTGATGTTTCACTTAAAAATTAAGTTTTCAAGATATATTAATATGTTTATTTGTTGATTACTAATATTTACAAATCATTAATAAAATTATAGCACTTCATAAATTTATCTACCCTTGCATGATTTAATTGAAAAGACAACGCCATGCGGCTTTTATATTTATCTTATAATCTTAATTTTTTATGGATTGTTTGTGAGAAAAATATTATAAATTATTTAATTATTAGATGAACCTGCAAATGATAAAGAAAAGATGTAAAATTGCAAAATCAGCACAATAAAAATAAAAAATTATATTATGGTTTACAAAGAAAACAGACCATAATAGAGGTGGAGCTGGCTTGCAACCTTCTGAATAGTTGTGGGGTGCATTTGGGGATTCATGATAAGTTCTTTAGTCTTTATTTTCATAATTATGCACTTATCTGTGAGTTAATATTATAATTTTGTATGTAAACTTTTTTCATTTATATTAGTTAATATTCTAAAAATATTTTATTCTAAGTAACAAAACCTGTGTATCACGCAGGCAGCATACTAGTTATTAAAATGTCAAATTAAAAAAAATATAAATAATAAAATTCAAATTACTATCTGAATAATTAAAAATAAAGTAAAAATAAAACAACATAAAATATTTATAAGAGATCAGATATAAACCAGCTAAATCTTCATATAATGGTTAAAAAATAAGAAGAGGAGTTAAAAAGGAGGGAAGGAAAAAGGAGAGGATCCTCTCCCAAATTAAAAACTAGCAGAAGAGGACCAGAAAGGAAAAGGTGAGGATCCTTCTCCGGGAAAAGTAAGGCGCATTTGTTTAATATTAAAAAATAAATCATATTTAGATAATTTAAAAATATTATAAAAAGAGGTTTATTTTGTAAAAATTTTAGAAAAAACAGACATATTTTATGTTTTTATATAATAATAACAAATAATTATTAATTAGTTATTTTTAAAATTTATAATATCTTTTTTTATTTTTGTTATATAAAAATAATTTATTATCTAATTAATTTAAAATTTGATTATATCTTCACGTAAACACTGCCTTTTTAAAATGTTCTTTATTATCCACTACACTAATTTATTTTCAGAAGCTACACTCTTAAAATAATGAAAAATTTATTTTTAAATTTTAATTATTTTCAAAAACTTAAACAAATATCATAATTTTTTTTTAAAAAAACTGAAACAATAGGCCTGTAAGTATAAGTTCACTGCTTCTTAGGGTGTGTTTGGATTTTAATTGAAACAAATTGATTAAGAAAAAAATTAATTATTAGAATTTAATGGTGTTTGGATAAAATTTTAAGAATTGATTATGATATTAATTTTTTAAAATGAAATAAATTTCAGCTTATTCCAAATGGAGTTTTGAAAACTAAATAGAGTTTGAAAAAATTTGGGTGTTTGGATAAAATTTTTTAAAATCATAATTTTAAATCTAGAATTAATTCTAAAAAAATACCCAAACAGGCTCTTAATATTAAGTTCCAATAGAAAGTTCCGCATGCTCCAAACCATGAAATCAAAGAGAGTGTCCGGTCATCAAGTGGGAAAATAATTCAGATTCTGTATCATGGATATTTTTGGTCTTATACATTGACTACATCCAAGTATCTGTACCCAGATTTATATTTAGATTTAAAAAGGAAAGCTAGAAATCGAATCAGAGGGAGGAAATATTCCACACAAAGATCCAATCTTGGTTTTCCCGCATACTCCTTCCAGTATAAAAAATATATATTTTTCATCCTGTTTATAAGTAACATAATTAAATATTTACCATAAATTTTTTTTTATTCTCCATTAAATTTTGACAAAAGAAAGTATTCCTTTTTGATCACAATATTAGTCATTTTTTATAAGCTTTACTAGGTTCAAAATATAGGATATTAATAATTGAGATAAATATAATTTTTGTTCCAAGCTCAACCATTTGAATCAAAACTAGCAATTTTAGCTTAAGTTAACGTGAATTGTTTTATAAAAAAAATTGTTACTTGCTATAAAAATTAGCCGACACACCACTTTTGATATGACAAAAAGTGGAGAAAGTTATAAAAAAAGTTATAGCTAGTAACTCTAAAAGAATATAAAGTCATAAAAAAAATTGTCACATTGTGTTTATAAAAAAGAAGCATCTACACACATACAAACCTCTTCGACTCTTTGACATTATACACATCTTTTAGTAATCTCTCCAAACACTTCAAAATCTATTTACCTAATGCAAAAACTTTGACTCTGCATCATCCTTTACTTTGCTTTGTGTGATTTTTTTTAAATTTTTTAGCAAATTCAACACAACGCTCTTAACACATCACGAATTCAATAAAGAGTAGTGAATTTTTCAACAATCAGTAGAGTGTTAGTTTCTAGCAAAACAGTAATAACAATGCTCCAACACTTTTTCTTTTAATTTTTCATCTTTTATTTCTTATAATTTTTTTTATCATTATCAATATTATGATTGCTCTCATCATGTAAGTTTTACATGTTTCTCCATTCCTTTCATTTTTAAGCACCTGTAGTAAGGGAAATTTTTATAAAAGATTCTAAACTCACCATTTAATTTTATAAGTCAAAATTATTATAACTTTTGAGGACTAGCTCCTCTAGCACACCTGTAGAAAAAACACTAAAAATAATTAGGCAAGTGTTATATATATATATATATATATTTATTTACATATTTACTTTATTGAGTAATTAACAAGAGTATTTTAAATAAAACAATTGTTATAGTGTTTATTACATTAAAGAGCATGATTGAAAAGATGGGTAGAATTTTTTTAAAAAATTAATAGTTTAATTAATTTTTTTAAGATATGTAAATTAATTAACCCTAAACAATCACTTATAAAAAATGAGTGTGTTACTAAAGCATGTCAAATCTAATAAGAGTAAATTCAAGATTTCTTTGAGTTTTTAAATAGAATTAATAAATTTTAAAATTTTTTTTATTTCAATGAAATATAGTAAAAGTGACTTCACTCACTCATGACAAATCAAAATGAGACGTATATGCTTAAGCATGAATTATGATTTATTGTGCCTTTAACAAAACATACAATGGAGGATCAATTTATATCCAACCAATAAATGTAATTTAATAATAAAAGAAATCGCCTTCTTTGCCTTTGCTTTCCTAATTCCTCCATAATTACACTAACCCCACAATTCCCCAACCAGCTCATGCTTCAAATCCTAAAGGTAACTGACGTCGGTCCGCCAATTAATATATCCCATCCATCATCATCGCCTTAGCAATAACGGCTGAGATTTTTTGTGGTTCTTTGATCTAAAGAAACCGTACAGTTTTCGCAAATCCTTAACCGTATGGAAACCATCACCGCACAGCACGCCATCTGGTTCGTCCATTACGTCCACGCTGCGGTCCACTAACTGCCGTCCTATCTTCCCGCCGCGCCCTCTCCCATCGCCGTCCGTCCGCAAGGCACCGATGACCGATTTAATTGCCCGACTCGGCGAGTTGCGATTCGCGATCATCAACTCGCCAATTTCCGCCGCGCTCAGACTCGCTCCCTTCTGAAACATCTCCTCCACTTGAGGGAATAGCTTGTGTTCCTTCAACCCCAAATAGCTGCTTGCTAGTGTCTTAAACGCCAGGAAATCACACAGGCAAAACTGGATGTGGACATCGACCCGACCCGGACGGAGCATATCCGGATCCACGTGCTCTTTGCTGTTCATCGTGAATACCATGACCATCTCCTCGGCACAGCACGAGCTCAAAATCCCGTCCATGAAGTTCAGAATCCCCGATAAGCTCACCGCCTTTGATTTCTCGATAAGGAAACGATCGAGGTCTTCCACGACGATGATTGATTTCGCGGTCGTCTGGAGCAGCATGGATTTCAGGTCTGAATCGCTTGGGACTTTCGAGAGATCCATGTCATATACGTCGTAGCAGAGAAAATTGGCCATTGCGGCGACAAAGCTCGATTTTCCGGTGCCAGAAGGGCCGTACAGGAGGAAGCTACGCTTCCATACGCGACCGAGTCGGTTGTAGTACTGCTTCGCCTTCAGGAACGATTCGAGGTCGGATTTCACCCTGTTCTTGAGGTCGCATTCCATGGCAATGGTGTCGAAAGTTGAGGGGTGCGTGAACGGGACGGATCTCCACCGTCCTTTCCCGCCGCCAATAGGGTCCGTGATCATAAACAGCCTCAAATCACGTTTTTCCTGTTGCTCGATTTCGTCAGCGATGGTGTGGATGTGCTGAAGATAAGGACGGAGAATTCGGCGTTTGTCGGCCTTCCTAATCTTCAGGATGAACGCTCTGTTACGGCTTGACACGGACTTTTCGTCTCCTTCATTGAGCCAGAAAACTCTGGCTCCGAGAAAATCGTCCTCGATGGTTTGTTTGGGGTCAAGGCAGAGAACGATATCATTGTTCTTCTTCCGGGTGATCAAATTGGTAAAATCAGAGTCTTCAAGGGAAGGTAGAGAATGCAGATAAAGAGAGACCTTCCTGTAAAGCGGATTCTCCAGCATGTCTTCATAGAGTTCTGGGACTCTGAAGCACTGGTAGACATAAAAACTATCTTCAATGATTCTCCAGCATTTCTTTACGGTGTACATCAATCCAGTTTTAAACAAAGCCACACGAGTTATATACAACAAAAACATGATAAGGATGAATAGGAAAAATGAGTTGTGGAGAATCATGGTGATAATTTAAGATAGACAACAAATTACAAAACAGAATACACCAAAGCCTGAGTTTTAATTGCAGCTGAAGGTATCGATTTTTTTCTTGTGAGGGAAAATATTCATACTGGGATTCTGGGAGGAACAGGAGATGCCAGTGCCAAAACTGAAGAAGATGGAGTTAAGGAATTGTTGATTGGCGAAAAAATGGAAGGAACGGACTATGAAACCACAGAGAAGAGAGGTTGAATTTGTGTCGGATTGGGATTCGAGGGGGGAAGGAAGTGAGGTTTAACTGTTTAAGGAAAGATAGAAGAGGACGGTCAGTGATTCTGATTTGAAAAGCAGCATGTATATGCGAAATTTGATATTCATTGCTTCAGTACTAAAAATTTATAACAAAAACATCGATGTTTTAAGGTGGAGTTGCCAAGTCACAACAGAAAAGCATAAAATCACAACCATGTGAAACATTATTTATTTATTTGACAATTATTTAAGATAAATCAACAAAGACTTTTTTTGGCCATCAGATACATGAATGAATTTAAGATTTGATTTTTTAAAACTTTTTGTTTGACTGGAACTTCCACTATAATTATTTGTTGATCAATTACTATTGAATGAATTAAAATATTATATGTTTTAAGATTCAGGATTCTTCTCTGGCAAAAAAAAAAAAAAAAAGATTCAGGATTCTTCTGATTGGGTCTCTTGCACGCGAGACTGTAGTCTGTAAGTGCGTATTTCACATTGTAAGTCATTGGGTGTGTTTGATTCGGGTAAGGAGAGAAATTTTAATAAGAGAGAGAGAGAAAAAATTTGATGTCTCCTTATTTAGTTTAGGTGAGGAGAGAAAAAATAATAAATAATTTATTTTTATTTTATTAGTGTTAGAATATTAAAAAAATATATCTACATTTTTTAAATTTATTATAAAGAATATATTAGTTAGGGTATAAAAATTTTTATCCTTTCCCTCTCAATCCTTCCAATTTGAAGGGAACTCTTTAATTTTTAAAACCAAACAAGAAAAGGGAGTAAAATGTCACTTTTCCCTCCAATCAAACAATCCCGTGAGAGCCATTATTATTTACCATAATGTGTGTGTCACATCGAAAAAGCCATAGTTAGAAGCAAATTAAATTTTGGCCCAACAAAAAAAAGGAAGCAAGTTAATTAAAATAATTTATAAGATATGAAAATTGATGCATGTGGTCATTTTTTAATCCAAAATAACAAACTTACAACTAACGAGGCAAAGTAGGAAAATTAGTAGAAGATGTTTGCCTGAAATCAAGTTTAAAAATTTATTGTTCTTTCAGCATCATGAAAATAATTTTTTTTAATATAATATATTAATATTTATTTATTTAGTTTTAGTATTTGATAATAATTGTTCATTTTTTTATTATTTAACGATTTTTTAACCACTTTATGCACTAACCAATGTCTGATTATTAAATCGAATTACGTTATTTTCTATTTATAAACAATGTCGGGTCACTTAGAAATTATTGACTTTTTATATAAATAAAAGACGTCGCTTTAATACTAACTCGTTCAACAACATTTGCTCACCTACATTCAATTCTAATATTGCCAAAACTTGAGACATTTAAAACTTTGAAAATGATCAGAAATTAATGACACATCTAAAACTCAGAGTTGAGGTATACCTTGGCAGTTAAAATCTTATTCGGGCAAACTGGTGCAACATTAATCTTGACAAAGATAATCTCATTGAAACACAGAGAAATAATTTTATGTCGTCAAGTGCTTTCTCTTTGAACCCACGCACATTTCGATATATGTTTATCATGTATACATATTCTAATGTGTAAGTAGTTTTATTAAGAAAAAAGGAATAACAAGGTGATATTGTTTTAAAAAAAAAAAATGTCTCTCATGTCCTCGATCACAGAATATTAAAAATTGTTTTATGGGCCTAGCCTAAGAATCTCAAATCAATTTCTTTTAGCCACTAGAAGAATAATATCAATTTGTCATTATTTAAACTTGTCCTGACATATTTGAGCTTGAACTTGAACAGCCTTGACAAAAATCAATCGTGTAGCCAGCATTGAACGCAAGTGAAAAGCACAGATTTAGACAAGTGGTCCGGAGTCGGAACCAAGATAAATGACCCTATATATATATAGAGATATATATATATGTATGTATGTATATATTATATCCGAATATTCTTTGTTGTTCACTTTGCTTTCCCTGTTACATCCAACGTGTTACTTTCGCTGATCCTTAATTGCCAATCCTTGTTACACAATTTGAACCATTTGGCCTACGAGAATTCCTCACCTTACAGGTTATAACTGCTTTTAACCGGCATGCATACATGGAATTTGTGTGTATAGAGAGAGAGAAATTCGGGTTAAGGGTCTCTAATATACCATTCTCTAATGTCTCTTATAATGCTCCAACATTTCAATTTCATTTTTTATTTTTTTTTGAATAATTAATTTCTACATAAAACAAGAGACATTTAGATATTTTAATGTTCTAAAATTGTGAAAATTTATATTTTTTATGATTTTTCAAAAATAAAAGGATGCATTTGTGATATTTTTCTTTAAAAAATCATAAAAAATACAAATCTTTACCATTTTAGAACATCAAGATATCCAAATGTCTCTTATTTTATGTAAAAGTTAATGATTTAAAGAAAAATAAAAAATAAAATTAAAAAGTTGGAGCATTATAAGGGGTATTAGAGAAGGACACATTAGAGACCCTTAACCCGAGAGATTCCAACTTTCCATGTATTTTTGAAAGAGCAATCCGCAGACTTGGAAAATTTATTTAAAGTTTCTCATCTTCATTTATCATGATCTCCCCTTCGCACATCATGTACTTTCCACTTTCCATTAACTTAACTCCTCTTCATCACTGATGACTATGACGTCTGTGATTATCTTGGCCTTGTTTTTATCTCTTCATTGTATCATCTCTAACTCTTTTTACATCAAAAAGGAATGGAGATCGTGATCCATTCGTTTTCTTAATTGTTTAGCTTTAATTTGTCTCTTCATATATTATATGTCTCATGCATGGCGCTGACCACATAGACGAGTCACCTTTATATGAAAATATTAATATGATTTTCTTATGATATCCTTTCTCATCTGCACGCTTTAAATGTCCATTCTCCTACATCATCCATCACCTAGAATAAATGGGTGGTGCCAATTTTTTTAACCTAAGCTTTGATTTCTCGTTGTGTTTTTCTTTTAATCAATTGGAACATATGCCCACACGATCATGTTTCAGCCACAAAGAAAAGGCCACAACTAGGATATGAATATTTTCTAGACTATTAATTCCATGTTTGATCCCAAGTTTGATGCAAATTAAATTATATGCTTTTCTTGTATTCCATAGTTTTTTTTTGATTTATTATGATAATGAATATGTTCTACTTATCATTGTGCGCACACAGATCATTTCTACTTTCTTAGTAGGACATTAAGCTTGACTGACGCATAGAGGGTCATTTTCAATTTGGCTTTTGCTTTCGGCTTTTAGCCCTTTCTTTGCTGTTGCGTGTGGTAATTCTATCTTCACAAATAATAATACTTCTAAGAATTGTATTATGAATTGCTGGAAATTAAGTCACACTTCTCACAACCCATAAATAACGGCTTATTAATTAGTTAGTATTCACTTCTTGTCATTATTCGTTATACCATCGAACAAATACAATTTAGGTGTCTTTTTCTTCCCAATTAATTCATTAATTTACTAATTCCACTTTTTGAATCTATAAATTGTGTAGTATTTTTTTTATGTCTATCCGAGTGAATCATATTTGAGTGTTGTCGAAATTGTTCGGCATCTTTGAGTAATAATGCTAAGTTACTATTTAAAAATTGTGTGGCTTAACCTCCATTAACGATCACTTGCTGGAGGTGGTGAATCCTGCATCTACATCAGAGGAGAGGGATTGGGAGATCTTAGGATCTGAAATTAAAATTTTCTACAATTTTTTAAGCTAACTTTATTTTGGCACCTTAGATATGGAGGAAATATAAAAGCAGAAAAAATAAAACACGTGGCATTCACACACACTAAGAAGAGTATCACAAACTCTTGCAATCTTACGCAATGCTGATCATATGGGGTCCTTGATAATCACAAACCTTGCGGTCCATTCTTATGAAATGGGATTCGACTGAGCCCAATAATTCTCGGACCACGTTTAAACCGCTTATTGTTTAAATCCCAAGATTTGTTTTTTTAAATAGGATCAAATATGGGCCCAGAAAGAGGTCAACCATAACTTATTTTCTTCCCATGTGACAATGATGCCTTGTTTGACTCAATGTTATTGGAAACTAGATGGCGGGCTCACATGTTGAATGAATTTTCATATAACAAATTATACTAAAAATATTACACACAAAAAATTTTCATATAACATTCACAGAAGACAAATCCGTGCGAGATGTGTCAGTGATTTCCCAAAAAAAAAAAAAAAAGGAAACACGCTCTTACACCATGTTTGAGGGATTCTTTTGGAGGGAATATAATGGAGTGAGATAGTTAAAAAGTTTTAAATTATTGTTTGTAATTTTTTTTTTAAAGAGTGATGGAATGACAAAGAAGGACTTTTATAGTTCTCATTTGCTATCCACAACATAATTTTTTTGTCCCCCAGATTAGGGGGTTAAGAATGGAGTTACATAATATAGTTATTTTATTTATAAAATTATCCCTAACCTCCTATCTTAATAAAAGAACTCAACTATTATTTTCATTCTCTAATTATCTACCTTGTCTCTTGCTAGGGCTGCATATGGGTAAGGTTGAGTGGGGCATCACCCCTGCCCGGTGCCCAGCCCAATGTGTAGTAGGGCACAAAGCTGGCCCGATTGATCAGAAAATATTTTTACAAGTATTTTTTAACAAATATGTTAAAAAAGTTTTCCTTTAAAAATATTATTATTATTTAAAATATATTTTTCATAAAACTAATATTATAATCAAAAGTAATTTTTTAAAAGTTCAAATGAATAACAATTGCCAATTATTTTTTCATAATAATAAGTTAAAAATAAATTTTAAATTTTGAAAGAGATTTAAAAAATTGTCTAAAAGATCATAAAAATAATATAATTTATGATAATTTTCAACAAAAAATAATGTCATATAATAAATATTATTCACAATTTTTTTTAAAAAACTTGCATATGTTTAGCTAGGACTAGGTTTGACGCCTGCCAATGCTGGGCTCGATGTGCCTGAATGTTTCGAGCAGGGCAAGTTTAATTGAGCATTTATACATAGTACATAGCCTTACTTTTTGCTATATATATATATATATATATATCTCGCCTTTCAACACTGCAATTTTGTTGTATTTTCCTCCTATGCAATAGGTATGTTTGCTTGAGTTGCTTTGTTATTTATTTTCTTTTTTTATTCTTAATTCTTGGGTATTTAGTTTGACCATTAATTATAACAATAATTATTAATTTTTTGTTGGACAAATGTTATAATTATTTAATGAGCATTATTATTTCATTTAAATTTAGCCCTATGGATAATATTAAAAGAAAAAAGTTTTAATTTGTTTCATTCCATTTATTTTACAATAATTCTCAAATAATGGTCATGTAAAATTATTTTTTTATCATAAAATTTTCAAACAATGAAAAATTTTGTTATATTCTGCTTTGCTTTGCTCCATTATATTTTATTTCATTCCATTTTATTAATAATCATTCCTTTCCATTCAATCATAAACGCACTCTTAATGCTAAAAAAATACTGATAATATAATAGTGCTGCCATTAACTTCAATTTTCAACAAATATTGGTAGAAAAAACCAACATTTATTCTGTTGCATTTTGATAATCCCTAACTTGGACCTTCCCTTGCTTGCTTTGTGCATGCGTGGGCTAGATTCCACTTATAATCATAAACCTTAAGCATGTTGAACCCAAAAAAAAAAAAAAAAACGGCAAAAAAATTACAAACCGTCGACATATAGAAGAATACTTTTGGTCAAAAAAATGGAATACCAGTTAGGGTCTTTTTAGAGCATGCCCTTTTGTATTTATTTGTAGATGATCTATTTGAATACAATTATAAAAAATAATAATCTCCCACATGCATTATATTTTGACTTTTCTTCGGTAACTTTAAATTATATTATGTGTTGTAACAGGACGTACGATTATAATTTCTCTCCCAACTTGGCTGCCTTCTCTTTATTGTTTTATTTCCTAGGAGCAAAATAACATCCAAATTGGGCAAAAGATTCACTAAAGGATCTTAACGATTATAAATTTTCTCAAGGACAAAAATCTACTATTTTGATCTAGTGATGCATTATGCATGATGTGTGAAAGTTACAATGAAAATTTAAAAAGATTACTATCAAAATTGTTTTAAAACGCAACACATATTGTGTTTCAATAACAAATTGACATGACTTTCTTTAAGAAATTATAATGCCTTTTCAACCCTGATTGTATTTTTATTCCCAATTGAGATAATGATGATCTATAAGATCTCTTGATATGATTTTTATTTAATCAGCAAAGTCTTTAATCATATATATTTTTTGGGGATTTATTCCTTGTGTACGTTAGGGTGTAGATGGTCCATATTTATAGATAATGGTTTCTACTTTGTAGAAAAGATAAAGTATAATATCTTGAAGACTTTGGCAAATTATATATATATATATATATATATTAAAGACTTGGGATCGTTATAGTACGTGAAATCATAAAAAAGAGTAGAAATGAGAAGGTACGTCATAAGAAAGCACTGATCTGTGATGAATGAGAAATGGAAGAGAGTACATACTAGAAAGCAACCATTAATAGAAATTAGGGAGAAAGACTCACAATCACAACCCAACGGTGGGAGTCTCAAGTCTCAGGAATATTAGGGATGTCATGTCTCTCAACAACACATTGCAGCCACATTATTATTATTATTATTATTATTATTATTATTATTGGTTTTAGAATATGGTGATGGAGAAAGTACTCTAGCCTCGTTATTTTCGATTCATAATGTTCTCAACTTCCATCAAATCAACCCATTCTTTAAAGTGTGATTGATCTGCTTAACGTTGTATTAATAATTAATTATAACAAGAAGGAGAAAGTGATGCGAGAATAAAGAATAACATGCACTTCTGCGACTCTGTTGATGCAGAAACTACATTTTCACGGCTCAAAATCGTTTTCATTGATGTAACCGCTTCCACTCATGATCACATCGATGCCTTTCATGAGTAAAAAGTTTTAGCATTACACCTATGAATACAAATTGCAACAAACTTTTCAAGTTATTCTCTCTCAAGTCTTTCGTACTAAATATATGTTGGTTATCTCTAAAACGAGCACAGCACTATCCTTGGTTTTTTGCTTCTTTCTTACGCATCGTTGAAATAGGATACGTTATGGCTTTGGGCTTTGATATCATTTCAGGTACTCTTAAAGGGAAAGTCCCTTTGAATTAACTTCACACGAACAAAACGAAGCCACGTGGAAAACCACCTCAGCCAGCAAAGTCAGAACCAAGAAAAATGGTATTTCTTTTGGGTTTTGTTGCCGCGTGCTGGAATTTTGACGACTGGCAAGCACATTCATGCACGATTGAGAAGAAGATTTTGGGGAGGCCTGATATCGCTTCCTTCTCTTTTACAGTCCACCCCATTCTCATCAACCCGAATTTACTACAAAACACAACTTGGATTAAGAACTGATGCCATTTCTCAGATGTAAGCATGCATTATCTACTCTCACTGTATAAACTAAATGTAAAAATCACACACACACACACACACACAGAGATGTATGGCATAAAACGACGACAATGTCACAGCACAATTTTGGATCAAACACCAGCTTTAATTCTGAGTACAGTGCTGCTATGGTGATTGCATTTACCCAAAAAGAATACAAGCAAGTAGAACAACGTTATCAGTAAATTTTCAGGAAGAGTTACCTGACAAAATTTGATTATCAAAGAGGCATCAGCAAATGAATCTTTCTTAGCTGATGCCAATCTTGTGCTGTGAGCTTGTGTCAGCTGGAGGTGCCAATTGAATCCGATGCTTTGCCCTATTCTTCTCTCTCTTTTGTAATTTTTCCTCGCAGGGCATACTTCTCATGGACTAACAATGTCAATTCCCTTTTTTCAATCTATAAATAACACTTGATGGCCTCGTCAATGTTATAGCTCTTGTGCTCATATCAAATCTCCTTCTCGGTTGCTTTCGTTTTCGCTTCACCACTGCCATTTCCATTATGGCTAGCCAACCCCCAAGCCGCCCGTGGTTTCGCTTAACCTCTTTACGCTCTGTGGCTGCTCCTCCACAAGACCCTCGTCCTCCTCTGGTCCAGACCACTAACAGCACCAGCTCACCTCCACCACAATCTGCTTCTTCCCCAGTCAAAGGTGAGACCATGGCTCGTGTGTCCAGTCCCTCCGAGAAACAGGTGGTTCGGACGGTAATGCAGTCACCCAAGGCCAAACCCACCCCGCCGCCGCCTTCTCCTCTGACTCTTCCACCTGCACAGTTGAAAGCTAACTCTGAGGCTGAGCCTAATATCCCGGAGGAAGCAGAGCCCAAGAATGTGATACTTCAGAAGACCATTGAGAAGCCTAAGCAGTGGCAAAATGGCAATTCAGCAACCCAAAAGAACCATAATGAGAAACAGAACGGTAATCACCGAAAGTCTTGGGGCTCTGAGGATTCCAGGATGAAAATTATAACTATTGCTGGCGAAAACAGAGGAGCATACATTGAGTTGATTCAATCGCCGAAGAAACACGAATTCGGAGACAAACCCAATCATCTTTACAAAAGTGAGAATGCCGAATCAGGGGGCTCGAGCAGTGATGAAGGTAATGTGAAGAAGAAGGAGAATAAAAGCAACAGAAGAACAAAATCATCGCATCCGATGGCTGCATTCATGAATAGCAATGTACAGTGCATGAACAATTCCCTCCTGTACAATGCCTCCTGCAGCCATCACGATCCAGGACTTCGCGTTTCTCTCACGAGGAAGCCACTCGAGAGCGGAGGATTTCATCTTAAGAAGGTCGGCAATGACAGACACGATTGATTCCACGATGTGTTGGCCATGCTTGTTTTGTGTGTTTTGACTGAGGATTACTGGATCACGGTGTGCATTAGAAAATAAAGGTTAAGAGTGGGGGCAAAATGGGGAAATCGGTTCTGATTATTGCGCCCTATTTTACTTTTGGTCGTGACAAGTGAATAATTCTACACAGTCCACAGCTACCATTTGAAGAATAAAAATGAATTTGGAATCAGAATTATATTTTGTTAAAACCTTCGTAACGATCATTGTCATTTACTTATTTAATTGAGTTTTATCAGTTTGAAAACCATTTTAAAGGTTTAATACATGTCATTTTAGAGATTTTTTGTAATAAGAATTAGAACTGGTTGATTTAAATTTGGACTAGTTAATACTTAACAGTGCTTAATATGATTTGTTTATATATATAGTTAATAAAGGTCACCAAAGTTTCTGGTTAAAATGAAAGATTATCAAAGAAATCCAAAGTGAATTGAGCTCATTTACTTGTCGAAGATGCATATTGAAATTAATAATAATAATGATGATGATGATATAAAATACAAAAATTTTAAAAAGTCAACTGATGTTGAGTACTATGGATCTAAATTTATTTGAGAGTCACCAGCCCAAATAGATACATGTATCCCAACATAAATATTGAAGAAGGATCAAATTATTTTCATTAAGAAGACTGAGTGAATTGAGCTAAATGGAGGGTTTACACCTGATGAGGAGGGAATGTGACTCAAGACATCCTCTTGGGCCACTGATTCATCATTTTCACAGGAAGAAATTCAATCTGCTGTGGTGATATGTTGGGTAGGGATGCATACATGCCGTGTAGGGCTTTCTACTTCTCCCAGAAGCGCCACTGATTTGCCAGGATATCGACGATAGAGATAGGAATAGGAGTTCATGCTCTAGTGCTTTGTTTCTTGTAACTTGTGTCGTCTTCTCCCGAGCCTCGGCTTGCCACTGTTAGGGACGACAACGCATTATCTTCATTCAACCCAATCAACCTTGGGCTTAGATGGGCCTTTCACGGGAAGCTCCAAATTGTTTTTGGGTTTGAATTTTTGGTTGCATATTCACTTATAAAACAGATTTGGGCCGAATTCTTTAATTAGGCTGAAACTTGCATTGCCTGCCTCCCAAGCCTCAAACTCTTTTCAACCAAATGTCATCCTAAGCCTCATTTGGTATGATAGAAAATTTTTTGATGGAATCAAAATTAAAATTGGAATTGGAATCAGAATCAAAATTAAAATAAAATTGAGTTTTAAAAATGTGTTTGGTATGTTAGAAAAAGTAGATGGAATCCGTACATTATTTTTATTTGGCATGTAAGACATGAAAATAGAATTATACATAAAAGACAAAAATACCGCTAAAAATTAAAATTAAAATTAAAATAAATATATATTAAAAGCTTGATTGTGCTTTAATTTCCTCATGTATTTAGTATATAAATAAAATATTATATATAATGGTAAATATATATAATACAAATATATATTATAAATATACAAATATATATAATACTATATTATATATATATATTATATAATTTATATAAAGACTTTATGCCCATAGTAACACCAAAATAAAGAACAAAAAAAAAAAGTAGCTAGAAAAGAAAAAAAGCTAACGAAACAAATTTAGCCATTGTTATTTTTTTTTTTGTTGAAGTCAACCACCACATTTTGAAGACCGGAAGCTTCTGATGCACACAAGGCTCACACTCATGATTTACAGGGCAAAGTTGTGAATTCAATTTTTTATGAGGATAAAATTGTCTTGAAAAATAGGATTCTATGGAATTGGTCCAGATTTCATAACTTTAAGTAGGGAATCCAATTCAGGTTTTTTTCATGGAATTAGGATTCATGGGAGTTCTAATTCATATGTACCAAACATCTCTTTGTTAAGATTCTATCCAATTCCATTTCCATCTTTAAGAATCAACTGTACCAAACAGGGCCTAAATTTTGAGGGGGCCACTTTCAACCGAACCACTTAAATTTGACTAAATAAGATAATTATATAAAAAATGTTTTAAAAAAAATGTATATCGAAGCAATTATATCGCAATCTATTTTGAAAAGCTAAGAACATGTGCTCAACTCAACTACAATCTTCCTTCGGCTTGATCCCTCACACGCATGCATACAAATGCCAGGTCACCGATATAGTTTCCAGTGTAAGTTAATTTGTTTGTTTTTTTTTTTTTTTTTTGAGGTTAGATTTTGGTATTTTTGCTGCGCAATACTAAAATTTGGGATTAATTACCATGTCTAAGTAAGTTGATGGCTTTCTTGGTTTGGCAAAAAGAGATTTAAACTTGATATAAAAAAAGTGATAATGTAACTTTTAAGTCCGTAAATTTTTTTCTTAATTATTTATCCCATTTTTAAATTTTGACTTAGCAGATAATTCAATCCTTAATTTATTAAATTGAGAAATTATGTATTGAATTGTATCGAGTAAAAAGGACTATAAATATTGAGTTTTTCTAAATTTATAAATTCTTAAGATTGAGTTATCTTGAATCAAAGTTCAATAATTGAATAGAACAAGTTTAGAGACCAATGACCCATTTAATTTGATGCAGTATAAGGGGATTACCTGTAATCCTGATGCATCTTAGGATTCTAGCTATTTGGTTGGTATACGAAAAGGTAAAAGGGATTACGTTAGGTAAAGGAGATTGCATCATACATTGTAATGAAGATTACATCAATAAACCTATTTAATCCCCATTACAACTACCTATTTTCCAAAATACCCCTCCTCATCCTTCTCCTCCTTACCCTCTCTTTTCATATTCTCTATTGGTCTCCCCACCTTCTATGTTAATGATGAGTTCTATGATCGTTAGTGTTTAAGCGGTAGGGGTATGTAGAGACTTTTTAATAGTTGAAGTTTGAGTTTTCTCTTTCATCATAGGTGTTTTGGTGGATGAGTGAATGAATCCTAGTTAGGGAACTGGATTTCAATTTCTCTATAATGGATTATCTCCTCCCACCACTATTGTTTTGTATGGGCATCCATTATTGCTTATACCTATCTTCTACCCCTCCTTACACCATTGTCATTCTTCTCATAGTTGTAAACTTCTCATTCTGATCTTCAAACTTATTTTGTAGATCTCATATTCTCATTTAGATCTTCCTCCAATCCTTATCTTCAAACTTATTTTCCAAATTAGTAGTTTTTTTTAGTTTGATTATGTTATTGAATGTGTTTTATGCTTGCAAGAGGAGTTAATAATTGATTTGATTTCGTTGGAAAGCCATTGATGGAAAAGGAGAAAGGGAAAGTTTTTTTTCCTTTTATGATTAAGGATAAAAAAATTTATTTTATAATTCTTTGGGTTAATGGGCAAATCTACCCTCAAAATATTTCTTTAGGTGAAATTGGTATTCTTAAGTATTTTAAAGAGTAATGTTCTTTCTGATGTAATTAAACTATAGCAATCCAAACCTAACCTAACGGACTGAGCAAATTGATCGTGGAGTTCCCAAGTTTGACCATCTCCTGCTTTGCTATATTTTTACATGGCTTTTGAAATGATAATGTGAACCCTCACTCTTCTTTATTGTCCTTGACCCTTGTCCGACATTTACCATGTGGTTTTTTTATCAGTTGGGAGATTTATGATTCATTATTAAATATCACATTTGGTAAGCCATGAAGATGTTTGTAGATGAGAGTGGAAGCAATGGTTAGCGAAGGAGGAGGAATCGCTGATGTTATCTATTGCGAATAATAAAAATGAGGCCTTTGGTTCTGAGGTAAGGATGTTAGCGAAGGACCAACAAGCTATTATCACTATCATTTATTGGTCCCCGGTGGGCCTCAAAGATCTAGAGCAACCTAAGTAGAAGGTTTTCTAATTATGGAAATTATAACTAGGGAGGGTGTGGGTATTTTTTATGGCATAACAGGGAAGTTGATGAAAGGGAAAAGATGATGATTAACAAGCTCATAGGCTAGATAGATAAGTTGATTCATAAGATCATTGGCCTAAGAAGACAACTTGACAGGGAAGGTTTCTGGTTTGAGCTTGATTTGATTTTGAATGAATTGAGGAAGGTGGAAAGTTTGCAAAAGAAGATTGAAAAGGAAGATAGGAGGAAGAGGTTGAAGATAACAATAGCAATGCTTGTAGTCTTTTGAATTTATTTTTTCATCATCATATTCTTAAATGTTTGAGTCAGTGTTGTGCTACAAGGAGGAAATATATCTTCCTTTATTTTGCTACATGTAAAAGCGTGAAAAATAAAATGAATTTTTGGTATATTTTTGGGTTAAATTTTTTCAAATCTCGTTCCATTTCATTATTAAAGTGTTGTACCATCTTATTATTGTGACCAATATTCACTATCTCATAGATAAGAAAAAAGCATAAAGCATGTCATATATAACATTGAAAGGCTTATTCTTTGCTTGAAAATAAACCATCATATGCATTACTAGCATAACAAGTCCTATGATACTAATCCCTACATAAGTTAGCAATCATAATATGGTGCGCCTAAATATAAAACAAAAGCATAAACTATTTTAAAAAAGTACCAATTGGAAAATGCACAATAATAATGGGTTAGAACACCCATCATTCACAAAATAATTAAGACAATCACTAACAGTAGGTCTTCATCACAAAATAAGCTAAGATCTTGCATTTCTCTTAAGCTATTTGATCCTTCTCTCCCTTTTTGCTTTAAGACTCGAGGCTGTGCAACTTGGTTGCCTTTTCCATATTAGTCTAAGTGAGCTAAAGGGAAGTTTAGTTGGTTTACTAACTGAAGAACCATTTCTATTGAAATTGATTCTTCTCAAGCCTCTGGTGTACCATTACCTTGGTGTTTTTGCCTTCTTGTATGCCTTATTTGCTTCTCATTTAGAATAGGGAAATGTGTCTCTAAGTCTGCATAATGTCATGTATACTTAGTTGCATTGCCCTTTTCAAGCATAACTTTTGAGCTCATGCTAGGCTTCATAAGTACACATAA